TGCCTTGCCAGCATAACGCTCTTTAAATTGACCATCCTTGCAATACTTGTGTCTTTTGATCCACTGCCTCTCATAAAACCGGCTAACCTTTAAGTTCATTATGTTCTTAAAATTATTGCTATGTTCTTAAAATCATTGCTCTGCATTCAGAGAGAGAAACTCCTCACCAAATTAGTATGTCATATCTGAGCTACCTACCTGCAAATTTCTCGTCTCCCCATTTAAGTGGAATTGACTTGCCACGGCACAATGGAAAGAAGATCAATAATTACAGACTCCAATTTGCCATAGATTTGTTAAACTTCACTTCCTGCTGTCATGCCCTTAATAGTTATGGTCAAAGATGCATCTCTGCAATCTGTTCTAGCTACATTATATATGTCTTGGTCTTCCAAACACTCAAAGGAAACCAGCTGGAAACACTGCACTTACTGTTATGAGTGAAGACTGTATCCATCTACATAACTGTGCCCTCAAGAGGTTACAGACAGCATAACTTTCACCTCAGTTGTCAGTTCTTCAAAGCAATCCAAAACGTTCGTGAAGCATGTTCTGAGACACCGCAGAAGCAGCTTGCCGGCCATGGACTGCATACCACTGATGGCCACTGCAGAAATGGCTGGCCTTGGGGTCTTGGCTACTTCTTGTCGCCCACTACCAAATTGCCTTAGAAAAAGCTAAAAATAGCATTGTTTTTCATGGAAGCAATTGCTGTAATGGCTACAGAGCTGCCACGTGGTCATCCATGGGAAAGGAAGAGGTTCCCATAATTGCAAATGTGAGGAAAAGTCTATGATGCAATCTTCCTACTAGAAACAGAAACTCAGAGTGTATCATCCCAGAGTCACCTTATAATATATGTATGCTCTGTAGCCAGGATTATCTGAAATAGCAAATACAGACTAAGTACGTAAAATTAACCCATATCTAAAGACCCTTCTGACTCTGCGTGGATCTGCAGGTTCTGCCATTCAATTTTTATGAGAAGAGCAGATTTATGGTATAAGCACTCATGAATAATTCACTCCCCTGAGTTGCCACATACAACTTGGGGAAATCCCAGCTGTAAAACCTTGGCACCGTTTAGCTAATGCAAGCTGCACTACTTTTATACAGGTGTTATTCCATTGACCTACTTGGAGTCACTCCTCCTTCGCACTGCTAGAAGAAGAGGATCAGGCGGCTGTGAAGAGGTGGCAGAGAGGTTTGCTTCACAGCAGTAAAAATGCTTCCAGTGTTGAAGTAAGTTAGTTTTAGCAACCTTAGTGCTTTGGCTCACCACAGCTACAGGGGCTTGTACAACTCACCCACTCTCGGGCCTCCCATAATACTCCATTGTCAATTGGCATAGTTCCTCATCAAGTCCATGTTTTTAAATCATGTTGAGAAAATTACTTGGATCCTAGACTAATAGAACACCACTAAAGCCATAAACTAGCTCCACTGAGCATGTCTTCATGCTAGTTTCTAACTTCCAGAGAAATACAGTTTATTCCAACACTCATTCTCTGCCACTGGGGCTGGAGCCACAGCAAGGTGTTGGTGCAGGGGACTCAGACAAAAAGAAACAGAAAGTGAAACTGCCTAGCCATCTCCTTGCCCTAACACAGAGGATGAATTAATAGCATCACTCAATGGGCTGCTTATTTCCCCAGGCTTTTTCTTCATATAAAGATAGGAGGGTGTTCTTTTCCCCAATCAAAAAAGAAAATATTTGTGAGGGTTTTATTTGGTTAGATCTCCAAGTGGAGGCCAATTAAAATAACAATCACCATACTACCACTGAGCCATATTCAAAGCACACATTTTAGTATATAACTAAATTTACAACTGTAGTACAGGGAACTACGAGCTGGCATTCCCAGTTAGTAAATAAAGTGAACAGCTCATGGCCATCTTGACATAAAACAACCTAATAATTATAGTGCCTAAGTTAGACATCTGAATAAATGTAGTCGTGTCATTTAAACAATGAAGCTATACTGATTTATTGCAGCTAAGGATCTGACTAAGGATGTAAGGATCTGATCTTTACCCTAATATATCACTTCAGTTCATCCAAATTATTGGCTTTCACCACCTGGCCTCTCCCTTGTGTCCCCACAGTTAGCTTTTAAGCAGGTTAAGAAATAATGGGTTCTCACTTTGTTCATTTCTTACACACTTCCAGCTGTGCCGAGTGAAATGAGAGACAACCATAAAAGCCAGTAGAGGGGAAAATTAGACATGCTGTGGAACTAATTTCTGAACTGTAAGCAAAGTTGTTGGCAATTTTGATTTCATATCACAACTTCACATATCTTTGAATTGTCACAAGCACTACCTGCTCACACCCTTCCAGGTGGGATGGGAAGCTGCCTGCTCAGCTGGGACAAGCTCCAGGGGTGGCCACGGTGTGGTCTGAAGGGATCTCTCACCTCCTTGCACAGAAGCCACCATCCTGCCTCGGAGAAGGCTGCACACCTTCAGCCCACATCAGCGTCCCAGGGGTGCGGGGTTCCTCCCGCGTCCCCCAGCCGGCCGCCCACCGCTGGAGCTGCCGTGTTTGCTGGGGTGGCTGTAAGCAGACACAGGCACGGCCAGCCCCGCTCCATGAGCAGGCAGGGGAGCACCGCCACGAGAAAGGGGCCAAACGCAAATTAAAACCAGACAAGCCGAGCCAGCAGTTGGAAAGAGGGGAGTGGTTAAAGCACAAGCCTGTGATGGCTCTAAGTGAAAATAGCCAGACCAAGCTGGCTTGCAGAGTGTCACCGAACTGAAAATCCCCTCCACCTCCTGGCTGCCTGACTGGAATTGTATAATGGAGCAGGCTTCAAGAAGTAGCAGCTCCCAGCAGAGTTAACTCTCCAGCAGCTGCTGCACTTTCAAATTGTCAGGCAGATGAAACACAGGAATGGGGTCGGTTTGCTCTAAAGTGCAGAAACTACTCAAAAAATTGGCGGCAGGGCTCCCCGTAGCCAGGAGGGAGCTACACCGGCATCGCCTGGCTGGGGGCTTGGCCCGAGGTCCTTTCCTTGCCTCAGTTGTCTGCCCTGAGCTATACTGTAGCGTGGTTTTTGTCTTGTGCTTCCTTAGAGCTGCAGATTCGGGATGTATCCAGACTGCCCTTGCGGGGTGAGTTTCTGTTTGGAGGGGAGAGAGGTGGGGGTCCCGCTGTAGCCTGCTCCTCCATACCATGAGCCGGGACATCTGGCCAGGACCGGACACTGCAGGGCATCCGAAACGCTGGCACCTGCGCTGCCCCGGCACCAAAAGCTCAGGGAAACACATCCCCTTACGGGGGCGAGCACACGCAGGTGGTGGAGTGCTTGCGCCAGGCAAAAGTGAGTGCCACTGAGCCACATGTCACCAATGACAAGAGAGTGATGATTTACCGGGAAAACTGCCCTATAAAAAACACGCTTGAGGATCCTGTTTACTGTCTCGTACCCTTCAAATACTCCACAGTTACAAATACTCCATACAATTACAAGCTAAAAAAAGGAGGGGAGGTAATTCTCCCACGCACTGTCTAGCCCATAGACTCAACAAACCTGCGGCACCCTCAGCGGGCAGCGTGGGTCAGAGAGCCCAGTGTGGCTCCTCCTGGGAGATGGTGGGCCACCTCCACCAGGGATAAACAATCCCCACTTCAAACCTGGGCCACGGACTTGCTGCCAGATCCACACAGCTGCAGAGAGCAGAGGTGGAGAGAGCTGTGCCAATGATGGGAGTAGGAAGGAGAAAGAAGAGAGGTTGTTCCCACATAACACAGACTCTCCTCTGCAAAACCACG